CGGCGCGTAAGGCTGACAACCTTACCGCCATCTTTGAGCGGACTGTCTAGATAATGTGGGACCCTCAACTTCTCACAACCCTATGGACCTTCACGGCCTGTTACAAGGATAGCTTTACTTTTGTACTTTTATATTTAAAATAACAATTGAAATGTTACTTTCATTTCAACTTAAAATATAACAATGGCGCCTACATGAAACAGGTTTGTTTTTGGCGCCTTCAAAATTTAGCGATGCAAAAATGCGTCTGTTAGCCTTTTCTTGTATTTCTGTTCCGTTTTTACACGAACAGATTACTCTAGCATTTATTTATATTTATTTTATTTTATTTTATAGGTGTGTGGATAATTTCGGTCAAGACATTGAACATCCTAACTGAGATTTTTTGTTTTCCTCGCAACTTCAAGGTAAAGGGCGCCATATTGTTTCGATTAGGCCACAACCACTTTCTCCTCCATATTTTTTTTTTCAATTTACAATTCGTCATCCTACCCTTCAATGTTATACAGCCTAGCTGCGAGCGGCCTAGTAAAGTAGCCCACAGAAACATGTGACCGGCAGTTATAACACTTTCGTTATTACGTAACGATTTACTGTTTGTGCATGAGAAGTTTCGCACGGTAAGAAAGCTGCTAGTCGTCATCCTAAACTTCCATCGTGTCTCATGATGGAGCCAGTAAATGAAATTAACTTATGATCGAAGGCCGCGCCATAGCTCAAGCGATTAGTCGCTGGTTTCCCATTGCGGCGGCCGGGGTTTGATCCCAGGTCTGGTCATGTGGGATTTGTTGTGTACAAAGTGGCGCTGGGGTAGGTTTTCTCCGAGTACTTCGGTTTCTCATGCCAATCTTCATTCCACAATCACCCTCACCTATCATCTGGGGCTGGTACAATAGGCCAGAAGTGGCCACAGTACAAGAGACTTAGTCCCACACCACTAAAAATAAAAAAACTCATGATTGATCTGCTGGTTGCGAGACACGAAATGGGAACATATTCGCTGAGAAGGATATCCGGGCGCATGAGAGAGAAAGTTTCATAATTAAATTATTCTTTTATACTTGTTATCTAATATTAATAGTACTGAGCAAGTTAGTTCGATCACTAAGGACTTTGTACTCGGGAGACAATCAGTTCGATCAACAATTGGGACACAGGTGATGATGACTGAAGTTTTTCGTAGTTGTTCCCAGATCCTGCAGAGCGGCACACGGGCTGGGAACCACTGCCGTAAGACGATTTCTAAAAATATTCTTTAAAAGGCTAAATGTGAGTTACTCAGCAAATATTCTGGTTCCCCCCCCCCCTTGAGTACACATTCCACCTCCGTCATAGTATGACCAAGTCAAAGTGTGACTCGCCTTGAAAAACTTGCAGTGCGTGTGAAATTAATTTCTGCTTCATATAGAAAGTTTTCCCAGGAAGCTCTGTGCCTTCAGATTGATTACAGCTGAAGGTCAAGGCCATCCAGTGATATTTACATTAAGTGCACCACGGGTCAAATTACCATGCCCTCTCTCTATGCAACCTTTCGCTGTCTCAGAAACAAAGGATCGAATGTGATTGAACATGATACAACGGATGTCTCATGATCAGGGAGCATTAAATATNCCTCAACTCTCATTTCAAAGACAATGTCAAATTTATGTTACGACTGAAAGTCGGCCACTCTGTTGTAGTGCCAAGCTCCATCTTGGGCCCAGGACCAGATTTTTGTTACTGTCAGACAGTTGCGGGTTTGTTGATGTGGGGCGCCCTCTCTGACGAGAGGACAGGTCTGTCGTTTACAATTCCTAATGGCTATCGCCAGCGCAGTCATTATGAGTCCGAGTCCCGCAAGACTTATAACCAAATTTTACTGTCCCAGATTCGAGACTCCCCCAACCTGGAGGGCCAGGTCCCCGTATTTATATCCCCCAGGAACAGGGTGGCCCGGTTATGGCCGTAGGTACTGGGTTCCCTTTACGTCGACTCCTACGGCTCACATGGTTGCGGTGGAGGTTTTCGAAACCGCCTCCTCTCCAGTCTAGTCCAGTCTAGTAATTTTCTGGTCCTCATCAGCTGAATTACTGGTCCTCGTTGTATGGCGCGGGAACAGGTTGTGCAGAAAAAGTCTCTTCCATTTTTCAATTTTTTGCATTTCCTCTCATTGCCGCGGAAACGTGTCGACAGAGCTGTTCCCTAACAACGGCTGTTGTACTGTGGCTGGGTTCCTGGGATACATCCCAGTATTAGTACACATCATTATTTTAGTTATAATATTTTTTTAGTAACTTAGTCTGTATAGCGACCAGAGGGCTAAGGAATTCAGAGTTTAAGTACCGATAGAAATTAGATTTATCTGTTATTCACATTGTCCAGACCGGTTCTGTGGTCCACGCAATCTCTTATCCAATGGTACCGGAAGCTCTCTCCCCGAGGTTAAACATCCGATGCGTGAAGCTGACCAATAACCTCCAAGTAGTGCCGAGGTCACGAAAACGTGGATCTATATATCAACTTCTCCATACGCCTTCATGGCGTGGTGCTTAATTAGTTAAACACAGGGACGCCTTTACCTTTTATCCATTGTGTTATAGTGACATGATTGGAAGTGACGCACTGTGAAAACACTCGTATCTGCTGCCCTACCTTATGCGGCACGTTTATCGTCAGGCTGAAGAACCCATTTTCACTTCGTGACCAAGCGATATCTCCGTTCAGATATCACTTATTTAATACCAACCTCTTTCTTACGTCACACATGTAGAACACTAGATCTTGCTATTGTAGCGACTCCTTTCAAAACTATAACTGAAAAATTCCTGATACATTTATAATTTTATTCAGATTTCTAAAAGTAAAAGTAAAGCTATCCCTGTACCAGGCCGTGAAGGCCCATAGGGTTGTGAGAGGTTGAGGCTCCCACATTATCTAGACAATCGGCTCAAAGATGGCGGTAAGGTTGTCAGCCTTACGCGCCGGCCGCGCTTTACCCCTCAGGAAAATTATTTAATTAATTCCTGGTACTCATTTCTGTTAGAGGCTGAGTCGACCCCAAGGCCATAGTGCGGCTGGAAGGATTAGGTCAATTGAAAAGAATCCAAATTTAGATTTCTAAGGCGAAGTAAAAATGAAACTTATAAAGAACAAAGCATAAAGGCATATGGGGAATGGAGGTATAGCTCCAGTCGTTTTTGACCTGTATCTTAGATGGAGATGAGTGGTTGACTTGACATCAAGGCCGCTATTTCTCCGGGTTCGGAAGCTGTCAGCGTAGTGAAGGCTGCCGTGACGAAGAAAATCCCTCCTCCTCTCAAATGTTTGCTTCCCATCCGAATTTAACCACCCTCCATGTTACATATATGTTCATTTTTGGGAGTGAATTTGTAAAAGCAATTATGAATTCAGAATAATGAGACCTGACGACAAAATAATTGTATTTGAGGCAGGAAGAATAACAGCAACATATGAGGTTACTTGAGTTTTGAGGTTTGAGGTCCTCATGGCGGCGACGAATGTGAGAGGCACTGTCTTCTGAGATGTAACGCCGTTTGGTCTCGAAGAAGTGTACCAACGTTTCGGAGGAACGTACCATCTATCTCTTCATGGTTGAAGAATAAGCCGAACGCTCAAGCAAGGAAGCACTCCGCTCAGCAGTAATTTGTATAACATTGTATATGTGGATAACAACCTGAAGAAGGCTTGATATAAGTCGAAACATGTAGTGGCAACATAACAAAAATTTTAAGTTTGCTTAAAGCGTTTTATAAATAAAACTAGGGACCCCATGTATTTAGAATTCAAACACGTTTAAGCTAACAGTGTTAATGTAATGTGTAGTATTGAAAAAATAGGAAATACAAGTTTTAAGAACCTTTTTAAAACACCGATAAGAATTTTGCATTAAAAGGACGACAAATGGCGACAGAGAGATTATTGTAGGCATGTGTTCCTACAGGCATAATTAGTGTAACCTGCAACCAATGGGTGCAGCTCTGTATTAGCGCAGTATATTACCTTAATCTCACGTAGCATAATTATAATTATATTGTAGAGAAAGTTTCAAGGAGGATGAGGTTGGGAAGGTCATGTAGCACGAATGGGGGAGACGAGGAATGCGTATAGGATATTGGTGGAATAGCCAGAAGGAAAGAGACCACTGGGAAGACCAAGGCGTAGGTGGGTGGACAATATTAAAATGGACCTTAGAGAGATGGGATGGGATGTTATTGATTGGATTGATTTGGCTCAGAATAGGGACCAGTGGAAGGCTCTTTTGAACACAGTAATGAATTTTCGGGTTCCATAAAATGCTGGGAAATTGAGTAGCTGCAGAATTAGCAGTTCCACCAGAAAAGCTCAGCTCCTTGAATAAGTAAGTAAGTAAGTAAGTAAGTAAGTTGTAGACCAAGTTACTGTGATCAGTTCACCAAATTATTTATATGTACATTCACATTATATACATACGGCAAGCCGTGGCGTGTTGGCTACGGCGCATATTGCATGGTGTGTATATGTGACAGGTTCTGGCTGAAGTACTGGTGATCGTGGCGGCTGTTGCCTCTTACCCCGTGACGTATGTAGAGCAGGGTCAACAGCAGGGCCAACAGACGATAGCTCCTCAACAATACAGATTGTTGCTGCAGCAAGTGCAGCCTCAGCTGGGAGCAGCTGTCTTCCAACCAGAGCCTCATTCACAGCCTCAACCTCAGACCCAAACCCTGATTTACCAACGGCAGCCCCAGCAAATACAACCCCAGCCTCAAACTCAACCTCAAACCCAAACCCTGATTTACCAACGGCAGTCCCAGCAATTACAACCCCAGCCTCAAACTCAACCTCAAACCCAAACATTGATCTACCAACGGCAGCCTCAACAAGTACAACCACAGCCTCAACCTCAAGTTTACGCTGCGCAGAGACTAAAAGCACGCCCAATTCCAGCTCAGCAGCCGACGGTACAACCTCTTCAGGAACCAGAAGACTTTGATGTGAGTAGAAGGCTATGTGTGCTTAGGTGTTTACTTACTTACGCCTTAGTTATTTGGTCCTCTAAGAACAATGGCCACTTTAAGAGAGACACGTATTCTCTTGCATCCATCTGTTCACTTTCGGTTGTCGTAAATCATTTTCTACATAGGAAGAATAAAATGTTATCATTCAGATAGAAGTTCATACTTCTATTGAACAATGCTATATACTCCAAAGGATTCTGACGATGGTGTATATTGTACCTCTTTTGGCTTGTTTTGGACTTCATACATCGTCTGGTACGTAAAAGACAAAAAAAAAAACCCTACGTTTCGGAGACTGGTTCTGTCTCCGTCCTCAGTTGGGTAGGGAAGGATAAACCTACTCAGTTGGGCCCGTTAGAAAGAGCTAGTCTCAATCTTTTACGTACCAGACGATGTATGAAGTCAAAAACAAGCCAAAAGAAGTACAATGCTATATACTGTATACGTAATTTCAACCTTCTACCAAACAACACGGTGTTACATTCCAAATGATAGTACTCTTCATTTTTTTGCTTCGTACAGCCATCTCAGTGGGGACCTTTCTCAGCTACTCTTGTTTGGTTCATTATAATCACATGCCATGTTCACTCTGCCTTCATGTATTTTACGTAATTCCCCCAAGTTCTTGCTCAGTTCTGATTCTCCAACCCCTTGTTCAATTACTGCTCCACACACCTCCTTAAAAGATTCTAACTCGCAATATTTAACATGTATTAGGATTTTCAATCATGGGTCATGTTTCTCATCCATATATCAAAATTGAATTAACATTATTTTGTATAACGCACGCAGTCACAGGAGTAAGACACAACACAGAGCACAATACACACATGAATGTAGGAAGAGTGCTCCCACAGAGGAGGATTGGCGTGACTCGCGTATTGAGATAAGACGTAAGGATGACGAATCCTGAAAAGTTTTAATATTTAAAATTTATTATTATATATGAAGAATATATATTTTAGTCATTTTAGTAAGAAGACATCAAGGCATGCAATGCAGTAGTTAGACGTGCATAGAGACGCACCTGAAGATGGTACATTAGTGCTGAAACATGTAGCGCAAAAGAGAAGAGTAAGGTGAAAAAGTGTGTGCACTGTAAGACGGTTAGCATAAATCATGGACATTATTTTATATGTTTCAATTTTTATATTCTGTCCATAGCTCTGCCGCGGTAGCGTAGTTGGTTGAGGCACTATACTACAAGCCGAAAAGTCGCCGGTTTGATTCCCAATTTTCTTGGATTTTTTAGTTCACCTAATCATTCCATCGTAATACGGCCCTGGGGTCGACTCAGCTACTAATAGAAATGAATACCAGGAATCTTCCTGGAGGTAAAGGGCGGCCGGGGCTTGAGGCTAATAACCTCACCGCCATCTTTGAGGCGATTGTTTAGAAAATTTGGGAGCCTCAACGTCTCACAACCTTATGGGCCTCAATGGCCTGTTACAGGAGTAGCTCTACCTTTATTTGTTACCACAGATTTACGCTCTAAATTGTGTTTTAAACCGTAATAACATCCATTTCACCTAGCAAATCTCATCTTCATTTCTTTGCTAACTTAAATTCTTCCTGCTATCAATATGATTTCGAAATCAACGATGAATATATGAATGTGTTAACAAAATTGACACTCGTCTAAACATATTATGCATCAACATCAATATAACCGTGATCTGAAAGTAATTGTATTGTTGTTAATTCTGCAATCTCAGGCCTGTAGAGCCTCCTGGATCGTTTGTGACCGAATGATGTCACACTTTTATTGCTGTTTCATTGAGTGTTCAAGCATTTACGTACCAATGTCAGTTTCATTCAGTGTCTCGGAATTTTGTGCTATTAATTGTGACTAAGTTTAGGGAAAGTTTGAGCCGCATTTAGGCTGGGGTAGAAGCTGCTGGGACTGAGATTGATGAAAACGTTTCCATTCCATGGAAGTCTGCTATTGGTGGATTCTACACCACGGGGCGGTACAGGAAACATTCAGAATGTCTTCATCGTGAAAGGTCATCTGTTTGCAAGTGATTTATCTTAGGTTGCCTTTTACGTTACAAAGAGTAAACGTGTGACGAAATCTTATTTTGCGAATATCATGGAATGCAAAGTGTATGATATACATGTTTCTTCCCCCCTTGGCACTACAGCCCCAGTGGGCCTAGGCCTACCTCCATGAACTTCTCCGTTCACTTCGGTTTTTCTAGATCTTACACATTCGGTAGGACTCCTTGGGCGGGTGATCAGCTCGTCGCAAGGCCTCTACCTGTACACAAACACAGAAAAACGCACATAAACATCCATGCCCTGAGTGGGATTCGAAACCACGATTCCGGCTTCAGAGTGAGCGAAGACAGTGCATGCCTTAGACCGCTCGGCTACCGTGACCGGCTGTTTAAACATATAACTACCTAATTAAATGAGTGACTGGCTAATAAAGAACTGCCTGACTGCCTGACTGACTAGCTAACCAACTAGATAACTAATTAACCAATCAACTAACAAACAAAGAAACTAACTAACCAACAAAAATTAAAACAAACCAACTGACTAACTATGTAATTAACGAGCTGGCTAACTGGCTTACTGATTAACTGACTAATTACATCTAAGTGAGGACATTTGCTCTATCGGTAATATTTCTAACTTGTATCCGGTTAGAGTTGCTGCCAGCACATCGGCTATCCTGACTGAGGGGCCTCATTTTACTTCTTGTCTCTCAGGCAAAATGGCGGGACAGTGCCAAAGTGACGCCACTATCGCGTTTTTCCAGATTGTTTCCAATCAATCATTTACTGCAATCCAGACATTCGTTGCCATGGGGCCCGAATCATTCACAACATCGTTAAGTAAATTAGGAAATGCTAATAAACAGGTTCCATGGTGTTAAGTCCTTATTTGTAAAGCAGTAGCTGCTCAACTAGTCGCAGATTTTCTGCCTTTTGTAGAAACAGAACTTACAGCACATCTTTACAAGAGCAGAAATAAGCTTTAAAAGTCTGTGGCGATCCTACACTAATATATATATATTGTGTTCTGGACGTTACCCAATGCCCTGCTTTTATTTAAAACACACAGCGTTTCGGATACTGGATTCTGTCTCCGTCTTCAGGTAAAATATACTCAGTTGGGCCCAATCGATAGAGCTAATCCCTATCTTCGGGCCTAGCTCTATCGATTTGGCTCAACTGAGTAGGTTCCGTCTGACGAAGGAGACAGATTCCACTCTCGAAACGTTGTATATTTTTAATAAAATCAGGACGATGGACAATATTTCCATTTACAAGAGCATGCGTTCAAGTTGGACTGACACTGCTTCTCAACCGGTGTGCCGAGAGTTTTTGTCAAGTGCGTCGCGAGGCTTTGAATGCAAAAACGGTTAAAAATTCCTGTGCTTAATTAATTAAACATCATACCATAAAGACGTATGGGGGAGTGGGAGTATAGCTTCACCATTCTTGACCTCGGCATTAAAAGGAGGTGAATGGCTATCTTCACGCCCCGGCCGCTTTACTTCCGGGAAAATCTCCCCTGGTGCCCATGGGATACGAGGCTGGGTGGGCGCTGGACGCTGTGGAGAAAAGATAAATCTTGCCCCTGCTGCAATCGAACAGCAGCCTTGTAGCCCGCAGCACTTCGCTGTACCGACTGAGCTATCCCGAGTCTGTAGAGAAGGATGAGTATATAAAGCATGCATTCGATTAAACTTTTAATAGGCTCTTAGACCCATACATCCTTTTATCCATTGAGTATTGGGAGCTCTTTCCCCGGGGTTAAAGCAGCCCTGGAGTGAAGCTGACAACTCACCTCCATCAAGTGCTGAGGTCAAGAATGATGCAGCTATACAGTCACTCCCCCATACGATTTCATGGCTTAATGCTTAATTCATTAAGTGCAGAAGCAACTTTATCTTAATTTTATTTGTAACGAAACCTTATTATCTTTCCGTTTTAAGAGAATTTTATATTTTTATACATTAAAGGACGTTTCATTATGCAATTTGTTTCTCTATTCTAATTCTACTACGATGCAAAGCAATTTGTTATCCCAAATTTGACTCGCATGCCAGAAGCTTCAGAACTACTGCTCTGAGGTGGGTTTTTGTGAGTACAGTAATGAACTTCAAAGTTCAATGAACACGCCAATTTTCTTTTCAAGGAAGACGTTTGAGTTGGATGTTTTTGACTTCATACTGTAGTGATGTAACATGAAAGTAAGTTTTCGAAATTTACTGAAAGCTGAAGGACCTGGGTATAATTGTTAATGATTTTTGTTGGGTTTCTTTACAAGATGTATAACCCCGAATGTTCAGACAAATTGGAAAGGACTTCGAAGGAAGCGGTTGTAAAATATTTCATTCTCCGTAAAAACTGAGGAAAACCAGGAACAACTTCAGTCAGGGTAGCCGGAGTGTCGTCCTACAACCAAAACACAGAATTCCCCGAATATAGGCAGTACTATAGCTCAGGCGATTTGTCTCCAGCTTCCCACTAGAGTCACCTGTGTTTGGTCTCAGTTGAAATTATGTGGGATTTATGGCGGACAAATAGGCTCTGAGGTAGGTTTTCTACGAGAATTTCAGTTCTCCCTGCCGGTTCTTATTTCATCAAATGCTCGATATTCATTAATTATCCCACCATGTGACGCTACATATTCTCGATTCTGACAGCGTCGTTTAATAACGAAATAAGAAACAAAGTTCCTGAATATAAATGTGGAGTTTTACCGCTATACCAGCCTGTTCGCTTATGACCTTTACGACCCGGAGTTTCTGGTTTTTAGTAATTTACTCTTTAAAGGCCGTGTTTCAACTGAAGAATTTATGTAGAGTCAATGACGAGGGAATAAAGTCGTGAATTTGGTATATGTAAGTGTTTGGAAAGAGAATACTGAGGTTCGAAGGCGTGTCTGTCGAGTTCAGATCTGGGGCAGCAGCAGCATTGATGCATTATGCTGCTGTTTCATGATTCTGTACTGTTCGCTCTCCATACCCTCATACTTTTATTCTAATTCCACCGCCCGTTCTTAATTGCCAGTCGAATATGCCGTTTGCTGGTTCAACCGCTTTCCAAAGCAACTTTCTCGAGTATTAACATAAACGTGGATTCAAGATCATTTAATTGAAAGTTCCTTCTACCAGTTGCTGATCTAAACAGCACCTTTTGCCAGTGCAAAATGCTGGTGTCTCGTTTGAAGCTTTGCTATTCTGGGAACTTGCACCTCCCAGTCATCTACTGCAGTGATTATTTCCATGGTGTTATTTAGCTGTTTCCTTTCGGGTAATAACACAGACATACAGATAACAAGTTGCTCCGAGCTTGGTAACAGGAAGAGACAGTTCATATTTTCGTAAAATTTATACCAACTTGCTCAATGGGAAAGTTAATTCAGATGTTTACTAGTTTTTCCCCCTTGGCACTACAGCCCCAGTGGGCCCAAGGCCTACCTCCATGAACTTCTCCGTTCACTTCGGTTTTTCTAGATCTTACACATACGGTAGGACTCCTTGGGCGGGTGATCAGCTCGTCGCAAGGCCTCTACCTGTACACAAACACAGAAAAACGCACACACACAAATTAAACATCCATGCCCTGAGTGGGATTCGAACCCATGATCCCAGTTTCTAAGCGAGCGAAGACAGTACATGCCTTAGACCGCTCGGCTACCGTGACCGGCAGTGTATAAGAATAATATATAAGAATTCAGTTCGTATCTCACAGGAAACAGATCCGAACCCACGATCCCGGTTTCCAAGCGAGCGAAGACAGTGCATGCCTTAGACCGCTCGGCTACCGTGACCGGCTGTTTACTAGTAGCTAATGATAATATAACCTTATTTCCCGACACCGTATCTTGTCTACAAGGGGAACGGCTTTTGTGACTAGTCCGTGCTGCCAGCTACACTTGCAACTGATGCAGATCGTAGAAAAAAGTGCAATTTCTTTGTCAAGCGGAACACAGGCTGAGTGTTAGGATTCCTCTGTCGCCATTATCAGCTTGCAACCAGCGGAACTAGACCATAGACAATATTCATTAAAACCAAATCATTCGATTATACTCTTCATGGTAACACTTCCAGTTTATTAAATCGAGGACAAGACTAATTAATCGATTGTCTTGGTAGAAATCTGAAGATAATTTCAACTTGCAGAAGGGCACTTTTTTGGGCGGTACATTGTACAGACATCTTAACTCTTGGCAAAAAATGCTATCCTTGTAACAGGCCGTGGAGGCCCATAGGGTTGTGAGACGGCGAGTCTCCCACATTTTCTAGACAACTGGCTCGCATGGGGCAGTGAGGTTGTCAGCCTTACGCGCCGGGCGGCTTTCATTTACCCCGAGGAAGATTCCTGGTACTCATTTTTATTTGAAGCTGAGCTTTCCCCAAAGCTCAGCTGGCTGGCAGAAGTAGGTCAAATGAAAAATCCAACGACCTCATCGGGAATCGAACCCGCGACTTTCCGGTTTGTAGCATAGTGATTCAATCAATTAAGCTACAAAAATAAACAAATAACAACGAAAACACGTCAATATTAGGCGCTTCGCTCCGCTTACTTACAATTCAATAATAACATACGTCACTAAAAAGTGAGAAATATAGATTTCATGGAGCTATTCTAAGCATGTATTTTTTCTTTTTCGTAAAAGCGACTTCAACTGATGATAGAAAACAATTGTTGGCTGATCCACTGATGGGCAGAATTAGTACTATATATTACTTGCAACCAGTGGGTGTAGCACACTATCATCATATTGTTTTATCATCACGCAGCATCAATAAGATTCTTTTACAGAACAATATGAGGGAATAACGGACGAGGATATCAGAATGAATGACATAGTTTAACTTACAGTATCGATTTACATTAATTCAGAATAAGTCTACTGTCGATATTCTTCTGTAAGGGATATTGAAAATACCTTTGTCACATATAAATATCAACACTATATATTAACTAGTTTTGCGTGTAGTATCAGTGAAAACGATATAATGTCGAACATACGAAACTACAATGTGCTATGGCTGACTTCTGTTACGATGGCACCACTGATTCTACTACGCTAATGACAGTAATCGATTTAATTGTTCGAGAATTTTCTCACCCGTGTTTAGAAACCGGTTACTGTAGTCGTGTGGCTGTTACATATTTGAAGCGAAACAGGCTACCTGTCACATATAAAGAGCAGGAAGTGGAGAAAGCAGCTGAGAGCGAAATTACTTTCTCCGAGGCGTGGCGACTGTCAATATCGTCGCGCAGAGAAGGAAAAAGGGACACAATATTCCTCCTCCGTTTTACGCCCTGTCTGGGTTTGTTATCTACGAATGTTGGGCTTTTGGTGATTGAAACATCTGATAACACGATTACAAGGCTTCCACTGTGAAATGAAATGCAGTAAATACAGACTCTCTTAGTCTGTAACCAGCCAAGTTCCGGGTAAGCCCCAAACTTAAAGGCCGAGGTTGTAACAGTGTGCTGCCTGGTGAGGCCTATAGCCCACCTCAGAATGATGATTAGCAGAAAGAGGAAGGGGGGGGGGGGAACTATGAGAGAAACCTACACCATTGGTACTTCATCCACTCCAAATCTTGTATAAACTTACCAGGAATGAACGTAGTGCTCCTAGGTGAAAAGTCAGCGCAATCTTTTTTTTTTTAATGACTTAATGTTGGGGGGCATGCGGTAGCGTAGTTGGTTGAGGCACTATGCTACAAGCCTGAAGGTCAGGGGTTCAAGTCCCGATGAGGTCATTGGATTTTTTCAATTGACCTAATCCTTCTAGCCGCACTATGGCCCTGGGGTCGACTCAGCCTCTAACAGAAATCAGTACCAGGAATCTTGCTGGGGGGTTGAAGGGCGGCCGGCCCGTAGGGCTGACAACCTTGCCACCATCTATGAGCCGATTGTCTAGAAAATGTGGAAACCTCAACATCTCACAACCCTATGGGCCTTCACGGCCTGTTACAGGGATACCTTTACTTTACTTAAATGACTTAATGTTTCGAAAACGACTCATTTGCTCTTCGCGAACTTCTAGGAAATAAACTAATGACTTGTGTTCACTGCAATAAATTTTCGCATTCGGCCAAATTTGGTGTTGTTTCCGCCTTTGTAAACGCAGTTCAAACTTGATATTGATTTATTGCATCATCCTTAGAGACTCCCAATTTTGTCTTACGGCGCTTCGCAACCAAGCAGCTGGCCGATTTATTCCCAAATATCTTTGAATATAGCCTATAAAATTAACTTGTTAGATCACACAAACATTTCCTTTCTGTGTATTCTGATTACGGAATTTCTGCAGTATCGTTTCTTGACTGCATGACAGAAAGTAAGCGTCAATGAATACACAGAGAACACTAAATTGAATGATCGAAAAACAACGTATGGGAACAATTTGTGAACGGCAAATGCTTTTAATACCTGCTGTCTACACTCATCAAGAAGTTCCTTCGTTGTTCCGCCCTACCAACGGCACTAACGACAGCTAACGAACTGCTCATTCGCGTTCATTGGCACCGTATACATTAATTGAATTAGGGCGATCGCAGATCTTCGTTTCTTTCGTTAGTGCATAAAGATCTTTAGGTGAATGAGACGTTTGTACCTCTTTCTTTAAAGCCTGAAATTCATCCAAATAATATTTAAATCTGAACTCCCACTTTGAATTTCTGTTTCAGCCTAACCCTCAATACCAATTTGCGTTTGATGTGAAGGATGATGAATTTACCAATTACCAGAACAGGAAGGAGCAGAGAGAAGGAGGGAAGACCTCTGGCAGTTACAGCGTTGTTGATTCTGATGGATTCATTCGTACAGTCAAGTATACAGCAGATAACCTAGAGGTTTGTAGAATTCTCTGTATTCCTTAATGTCATATGAAACATATCCAGCAATACAACGCACGCAGTCACAAGGGAAGGACACAACACAGGACACAATATACACAAGAATATAGGAAGAGTACTCCCGTAGGAGAGGATTGACGTAACTCGCGAATTTGAAGTGGGACGTATAGATGACAAATCTTGAAAAGTTTTAATATATACATTTTATTATTATACATGACATATTTACATTTTAATCATTTTATAAACGAGACATGATGACATACAGTGCAATGGTTTGACGTAAATAAAACCACATCTGAAGATGGCACATTAGTGCCGAAACATGTAGTGAAGAGAAAGGTGAAATTGTGTGCACTGTAAGACTGTTGGTACAAATACACATCATGAACATATTAAACATTTTGAATTTAAGAATTTCCATGGAAAACACGAGGTATTTCGCTTAGAAAGAGTCTGTTCTAGTCTGAATTTATTTATTGCTTGCAACGAGAGTAAGAACTTTGTACCGTCATCTCTCATCAGTTAAAGCTGACTTTTTTTACGTCTTTTAACAATAGAGATGTACGAACATAGGAAGGGTCCTTATATAAAAAAGTGGTGCATTCGCTCCTTCATATTTGTTTCGATAGTTTCAAACTTGCGGCATCCTGAATTGGACATAAATACGTGTTTCGTTTTTCTCCATGGCATTTTCTCGGAATACACGCCTTTTCCATATACATTTAACAAGTTACGGTCGAGTTATTCTCGAGATGCGCCCAGAAACGTGTTTGAATCGTCACGTGACATGTACAATATTTCTGCCCAAGCTTAACCAAAACTGGAACGAATCGACAAAATTTAGTAAAACACTACCCCCACTAAACAAATTTAAGCGAAATTCGTCTGGATTTTGTTGTTGTTGTTGTGTAGTGGCAAAACTGCAAGCGAAGATGGAGATAGTTCTTTCTTCTGGAATTTTGGTATATTTACCTTCCTCCATAAAGTTGGTACTCACATACCAGACTACATGGTGCTATAACCCAGAAGGCAACAATATGATTCTTTGCCACTGAGAAAGCTTCAGATCTTTTATAAAACTGTGTCTTTGTTTTGACAATTGCAGGGCTTCAAAGCTCAGGTGACCCGTGAGCCAACGGACATTGTGGTGAAGATCCCGACACCACCTCCCCCACAGGAGCAGGTGCAGCAGCCACAATATGTTGCTGTAAGTCCTCTTTCCTCTGATACAGAGTTTCTTTGGAGAATATGACGAACATCATAATTGAAACTTACACTATATTTATTACATCAGAATCAATTAATAGCCCTCTATCATTACCCATTTGCTGTAAAATCCTCCAAGAACCTCGGTCCTCATTTGCGATAATTCCATTCTTCTCTTTTATTACTTTTTGCCTCCTCACTTTCAGCACTCATAAATCATTCTCTCTATCCTCCAGTGATCTCAGTCTAGGCCTTCCAATTTTCCTTCCACTTTTGTCTTTACTTTTAAAAATTTTCTTATCTACCCTTGTTTGATCCGGGGCATGCGGTAGAGTAGTTGGTTGAGGCACTATGCTACAAGCTGGAAGGTCGCGGGATCGGGGTCTATTTTTCCAGACTACTTCCTTAATTACTGGTTCATGCACATTCTTTTAAATATCTCCTACCAGATTAGGGGTTTTATATAATTTCCTTAGTTCTTGGTTAGTTCTGACTCTCCACTCTTTGCACAGTTGTTAATCTGTACACCTTCCTCAAAATTTCATTCTTCTACATATATAGCATACTTTTATCCTTTTTAGTCAAGTTTTCTATCATATGTTTCTATAATTTACCAAGAGGCTGAAAGTTTTGTAAGGATACTTGCAAATATGAGGACTCTAAAGATTATTTTAATTTCATAAGAACATTCTACAAATGGTAGGTAATTACTTATATTAACAAAATAATTCCTGTTCTCAGAAGCGGTTATTATCTCTTACTTGTTTCAGCATAATATACTTTTTGCATTCTTTGCAAAATGTACTTAAAATGATGAACTTGTGTGTCTGTCAATCTGCATATTTCTTCTCTGAAATTATAAAATGGATCTCAATGAAACTGATATTGATGATCATTATTAAGTTTTGAGATGATGTACAAGAAACAAGTAGTTTGTACTACCAGTGTTGTATATGGCACAAGCTTAGCAGAAGTAGATTTTTTCTTCCTCTTTCCTTCCACTATGGAGCATAGGGCTGATTCCTCAGTTACATTGATCATTTTTACAGATGGTAGGACTCCTTGGATAGGTGATCAGCTCGTCACAAAGCCTCTACCTAAATACAGAATAAAAGCGTACATACACCTTGTGTGGGATTTGAACCCATGATTCCAGCTTCCAAGTGAGAGAAATCAATACAAGCATTAAACCGCTCAGCTCCCATGACTGGAAGAAGTAGATTAATGTCTGCCATAAATGAATGCCAAAGATTGATTGCACACATAGAATCACATAGAATGTGTTTGGAGCATATGTGTACGTTACTCCAAATTGAAGTATACACTTAGACTTTTGTTATTATAGTGGACCTATCTGTTGCATTCAGATAATGCCTGTACAATATAAATCATATTGTATTCATTTTTTCAAATGCAGCAACCAGTTCCTCCTAGCCAACCGTTCGCACAAGTGTACAACAGCGTGGCTGCACAACCGACGTCAGAACAGCTGGCAAGGTTGCGAGTTCTGGCCAGGCAGCAGTTTGCTGCTGCACCACAGCCACAATCTGTACAAGCAGTAGTACCTGCCCCACCACCTGCACCGGTACAATACCAGGGAGTGCAGCCACAGGTTCAATATGTACCACAACCTCAAGCACCGAGGCCAAAAGTTGTAAAGGCAGGAGCTATTGGATATGCCACACAACAACCAGGCCCATCTGTTGTGTATCAGGCATATGAAGAGTGATGCAGAGTTCTGGAGAAGATGCCAAGATATATTAAGGCACTTTGGCAGACATGGGCAATAATTCAGATCTGTAAGCCAAGCTGAACTATTGCCCTCTGCCACACAAAAGTGTACTTCGGTTATGATAAACCTAAGTTTCAGTATTACAATTAATATGTTGCTGGACATTATCCATCATCTTGTCTGTTCTAAAAAACCGTCTAGTTTCTATTAAAAACACAACGTTTCTAGACGGTTTTTTAGAACAGACAAGATGATGGATAATGTCCAGCAACATATTAATTGTAAGAATTTACCATCATCACAAACTTTTAGATCTAAGTTTCAGTATTGTTTTAGTGACAAGAAAGCCTTGATACTTTCCAGGAATTAGTTGCAAATTTTACTGACAATATGTTAATTAAATCTTAATTATGTAACTGAGCAGTTTTATATAACAATGATATAAAAACTGGTATATCATAGGATATGGTTTATAATTGACTATATGTATATCATTGCCATGCCATTACCATTGGAACACTAGTTTTTAACATTCTTCTACAGGTGGCAGCTCTGTGTTTGAAATTGTGCCATCTGAAGGATACAGATGTAACTCAGTTCACTCTTTGTACATAAGTGGGAGGGAGGAGATAAAGGGACATAGAAGTTGAAAGACAAGAAAAAAGGGGGTGAAGGATGAAGACAGAAAAGGCTTGGTTCCAAATAAGCCTTTCCGCTAGCTATACTAGGCCTCTTTTCTGTCTGCGTGCAAAAGTACAACACATTTTTCATAAACAACAAAAATAATTAAATTAAAAATATGTCTTAGTAATATCCAAAGCATAATTAAAGGTGACGTGAGAAAAACATTTTTTGTGTGACTGATGTTTAATGCTTGTTTTTTTCCATGAATTTGTATGGTTCCCCTTCCTTCTTGTCACACACACATATTAGCACCTTTTTCACTAAAATGGGAAAACAATGAAAATCTTTCTCTTTCCTTTGTTATATTCAGAAACAGAAGAAAATTAACATTTTTAAACTACAGCTAACTAAATACTGGAAATGTGCTGGGCTTCAAACAATGTTTTAGTTTAGAAATTTATATTTTCAGTTCTGGACTTGGCTTTAATTTTTCAGTGAATTTTTATGTGTTAGAGATGTGAAGTAGCCATATTATTACCATGACTATCTTGTTTGATTGAATACCATTTATTTGTACCAGTTTGTATTTTTATCTTTTGCATTTTATGTTTGAGTGCAGCAGGAGACTTTTTTATTTACAGGCACTGTGAAATATTTGTTGCCACTACTAAATAAAGTTTGATACTGTAAATTGAAAGTAGTGTGTTATCTAAGTATATAAGACAATGAATATCACTTTTTAATGCCATGTTTATCTATAGAATCTGCCTCCACTTTTGTCCAGTACTCTCTCTCTCTTCCTAGCCTCAAAATGAATCTACATTGATTTGTACCCTGTATATCATGTCATCTTATAAAGGTGAAAAGGCTTGAATGGGCTGGACACATAATACGTGCCAGCGAGAATAGAACGATTAAGAAAATACTTAATACTAAACCAGAAGGAAATAGGAGAGTGGGAAGACCAAGATTGAGATGGGAAGAATGTGTGTGGCAGGACATAAGAATTTTGGGTGTAAAGAACTGGAGCAATGAGCATCAAATGGAGAAGAATGGCTTATAATCCTGAGGAAGGCCAGGGCTCACAAAGGGCTGCCATGCCAGTGATGATGATGATATCATGTCATCAGCAGTCAGTTTTTAGTAAAGTGACAGAATGGACTTCTGGTGGTAGTCTGTCAGGCCATGGAAGTAATTAAAACAATGTGCAGTAATGGGTGAAGCAATAAATGAAACAAGAAATGTGATGATGTGAATGAAATAAAGATGCAACTTTTATTGTATTTTCATAAATATGTTTGAAGTTTGTACTATTTAAATTTGCATCTGTGGCAAAGAAGGGTATAGTGGCAATGAAGATACTTTCCTCTGGGATTTGACAACATGTAGTCTGATTGAATGTTGTCAGTGTTTCGGAGGAAGTTGACACCTCCATCTTCAGGTGAGAAGTGTAAATAAGACTATACAATATCATACACAGGAAGACAGTAATCTTCATAGTCACTGCCATAAAAACCTCAGACCTCCTATAGAGTCAATAAAAAATTGATTTTTTTTTCGCATTTCTTCACATTGTTATGCCTTTGCGCTTTCAGTTACAATGATATGCACATTAAAAAAAATGCTGTCAGAAATAAAACACAGAATATCATACATGATCTCATAAGTTTGCATTACCTCTTGTTCAAGTAGTGATGTCATGAAATGTTTAGTAACAAACACAGCTTGAATCTTTGTTATTTTTATGTGCACAATCTCATTTTCTTCCCTCTCATCTCATATTAGGTATGAAATTTATTGGATTGCACATTCAGTGAACTGGGATTAGTCATTTTAAAAAGTAAATGCATGTTTAAGTAATGAATGAATAAAAAAGGATAAAGGACAGCAAGCCGTAGCACAGTGAAACAATGTCTGGAGTATTCATTCCCTTCAACTGATTCAATAGCAGAAACAGTAAGCAGAATCCTGTACTTTCAGATAGTAACTTTCTGTACGTAAATTAAGTCACACTAATATCATCAAGAATTTCAACCTTGAAGAGAAGTCTAACAATCCTGAATGATCCCTGCGTTTATTTGTTTGGGTTCTAAATAGTACCCACTCTTTAAGGAAGTGAGATATATGAAACATGAATATATTTGGCTGTTTTTCACTCTTGTTGGCTCCAGATGATATACTGTGCTTAGATTTTAAAAGTGTTGAAATAACAGGCAAAATACTTTCCATTGCAGAAAGATTGCAGATATACTGCAGTTATTCATGTCAATTTAAAAATCACAATATAAATGTATAAATTTTATGTCGTCATATGTAATCACCACCATACTCCGTTGTTCCTTGGCCTGTGCTAATTACAGCTTCATTTCTGATATGGTTTCCTTGGTCATTCCATTTGGCTGCTGAGTGTACAACTGCACACAAGTGAATACTGTTTCTTTCTTTTCATATTGTAACATTCAGATATTTTAATGTTCACTGCGTGAATATGCAAATCTCTGAAGAGTACTGTCCTTCTGGATATGAGGTCATGCACTCTGGGAGAAGTTCAGCAACATTTTGGAGAAGGACACTGCCTTCACTTTCAGTGTTGAAGAATAAGACAAAAAAGTATCAGTAAACATGCACACAGTAAGAAAAGAGAGCTTGCTGTCTGCAGTTTGTTAGGTTCTGGCTTAGCTTATTCTTCAGTCCTGATTATGACAGCAGTAGGTTCTCTGAAATGCCAATGAAATTCTAGTGCACTACAAATCTTTAATTCAAAGAAATTATTCCCAGTTACCACTGTGAAAAACTTAAATAAAAAACGAAGATCTCTTATAAGTGTTAATAAGTGGATTTTGTGTTTGTTTCTACTCTAAGAATGTGCTGCAAATTAAAGAGAGATGAAATAAGAATTGGAGGAGAAGAAGAAAGAGGAAAAGGAGATGATGATGGAAGTGAAGAGGTTAGAAAGAGAAGAGGGGAAGAAGAGATGAAGGCAAAGAAGAATATGATTATGATGAAAGACTTATTGCATACAGTTGCAATGACAGCTTCGATTCATACAAAAACTATGATACTGAAAAAGAAAACAGAAGAAAGAATGGATGCTTAAGAATAAGTGGAGATGATGAAAAAATGGCAAACAAGAAGAAGTTGATTATGGAAGAAGAAAAAGAGGATGTAGGAAGGACAAAATATATTTTGCAATTTAAATTGTTATTTCTGCATGTGTACTTTTTATAAAATAACCATGCCCAATATATATATATTATACACTCTTGATGCCTTGGGATTGAAAAGTGATAGTTGTCAAAGTAAGGGACATGTCGAGGCTGCGCCACAGCTCAAGCGGTTAGTTTCTGGCTTCCTATCATGGTGACCTGGGTTCAATCCCGAGTCTGGTCAAGTGGGATTTGTGGCAGAAAAAGTGGCGTTGGGGGCAGGTTTTCTCATATTACTTCGGTTTCCCCTGCCAATCTTCATTCCACCAATTGCTCCACAATCACCCTCACCTATCATCTGGGGCTGGTACAATAGGCCAGAAATGGCCGCAGTACAAGGGACTTAGTCCCATTCCACTAGCAATAAAAAAAAAGTTACATGCCAACTACTCATCCTCCAGACCAGGGGTTATATGAGTAGCCATTAACCAAGAAGCTCCAAATTAGAGTGACTAAAATATTTGTCTGATGACTCATGAAAAGTGTACCTAAAATTTAAATATAATTTTTTCTCAGTATACAATATTTTACATAAGATTCAATAATCTTGTAGTTATCTATTTTTTCTGGTATAAATTAGTTTCTCACATTTATGCTTCATGCATTCCTAGGGCATACATCTCTCTGTCTTAAATTCATGCTCACTTGCAAGAGATAAATTCCATTAAAAATTAGAAAATTCTCTGGTGATGAATGATATGGCATTTTGTTGTTGGATGTAGAGATATTGTTCGTATTGGTGATGTCATGAAAGTATGACAATTCTGTATGGTGTGAAGAAAATGCCACTACTTAATTTTAGTTTACTATACAGCAACAATACAACCATTACATTCGACATAAAGAAAATTTCATTACCAATATTTGGGCTAGTTTAGTGTGAAACTGAATTTGTGAGCTCGGTTTTGGTATATTTGATATGTTGAGAATCACAAATAACAAGAACATTCAAGTCACCTTTAATTAAACCAATCAATCTCTCAGTGAAACACGTCTGACCAACTCACAGGAGCTCAGTTCTAAGACATAATGTTTTGTGAAATAATATTCTTATCTTCTTTAGAGATGTATCTTTCCAGGTGTCATATAAGTGTTCCCAAAGAGTGAAATAAAGTAAGTCAGAAGTGATACATCTGGTTTATAGCTGGCTTTTCTATGTAGAATATTGAATGTGTGACACATTTGTATTATTAACTAAATTCTTGTTACTAAAAGGCACGAATTAACAACATCAAGTAAGAACTCTTCATTGATGTTAAAAATTCAACAGTCAGTAGTTTCTGCAGGGTTGATAATATATTGAGCAGTATTTAAGAATCTCAAAAATATAATTTATTATCAAAATATAACAAGTGTAAAACAATAACATATATAAAAAATTCAATAATTTATGTAAATCTGATTAAAGAGTATCATGCATGGAAAATGTTCTCTAATATGTGAAGTTCAGAGTCACAGATAATTTTTTACACAGGAAGCAAAGTTTAGAGTCTGAAGGTAAATCACAGGCAGTTTATTAAGTGCTGTAAGACATTTTATTCCTTGCTATTTCAAGTTACTGAAGGAAGTGATCACATGAAGATATTTGCAGTTTGGTAAATTTCAAATAATCTAACATTCATCAATTGTGCTGTTGAAAATAAGCATAAATTATGCCTGAACGTGGGAATTCTGCTGAATGTTATTTTCATACTTTGGTATCTAGCCTATAGGGTTCTCCTAGCCAGCGTACTGGTGACCAACGTGATGACGGACACCCCATTTGAAGTGTGCGTGCTTGTCTGTCTTCACAAATGTGTGTACTGGTCCAGTGACTCCATGGCCACCTCCGTCACGCCTCACTCGTGCATCGTTGACCTCAGATGCCAGGCTAGCTGCAGCATTAAAATTGATTATGCTAGAATGTAAATAATGTTCACATCACAGTTGCAAGAGACAGAAGAATATATATATATCAATACAGCAAGAGTGCGAGTTATGGGCTGTATTTTATGTAACAGGTAATGTACAGTGCGACACTATTCTTAAGTTGATATCTGAGATTTCCTTGATATGAAAGGCAATGGAAGATGACAGAAAATCTTCCATGTATGCTGATATTAATGTTTAAAAATAATAAAGTAAAATGTTTCCTCAAGTAATACATGAATTAATCATACAAAAATTTAAAAATAATATAAAATGTTCTTGAGAGGCCTCATGGGCCCAGCCAGAATTTTCATGAAGACGTGAGACAGTCAGAAAATTTGTTTACGAACATATTTTAAGCTAATTAATAATCATCCTAGAGTGTTCAGCATATAAGAATAATTTTTTATAAAATAATTTCAATTTAGGTACCAAGTTAGCATATTTTTTTGCTTAGTTTATTCTGATTTTCTTAAATAAACCTAAAAGGGGGGAAGATGCTTGCTTGCCTCCTGCTGGTGTCTGTGCTAGTCTGCCAGTTCATTCTCCAACTCTCATTTTTAACCTGACAGACATTGCACATTGCCCTTCATAGTAATTCATGTACAGATCATGGCACATCTTCTAATGCTAATCTTATCTTAACATGATGAATTTCACTTTGACAAAGCAGGCTCTCAAATTCTTAGTGGCAGAGTTGTTATATCTGTTGCAGACATGGGTGCTGTTAGGACTTTTCCAAGGGGGAGCAGCAAGAAAATTTTCATACATGCATTTGGTGAAGTCATTTACGATTGATTAATTTTGCTGATTGTTTTAGTGAATTCTTGATAGAAGAATACTTTTATTCTAAATACTTTCAAATTTTGGTAAAAACCCCTGTTCCTGCTGGAACCACTAGTTGTGGAGGAGATGCCATTACTAAACTTTAAATTAAGTCATATTTAAGATTAATTTTCAAGTCCATATTAAAATTATTGTTTTATGTGTTTCCATTCACAAGTAGGTAGAAGACGTAAACTGAATCTACGGCTGCCAGTAATTTCAGTACAACATTATACATCAAAAGTAAAACTTCAGTGTATATTTTATGGCACTACAGTCACGACACAATACTGTGTCCATATGATACTGCTTTCATTGTGTGAAGGACCATGTATCTCCACAGAGAGGGTCACATTAGCCCTTTGTCATGCTTAAAATAATACAACAGATTAAAATTAAATTTCTGATGTTGCATTTAAAACAACAAAATGTAGTCTGAACAAGTACATGTAAATTGAGTGGTCTAACAGTATTGGTACAGTGGAATTTAATTGCATGGTAAAAGTTTAAATACCATTGTACATTCGCTGTTTCTAGGATTCTGGCACAACTGATACATCCACTTATGCATGTAATTCTAACATCATGTCAACAGAGTATTTTGAATCCATAATGTTGTTTCCGATAATGGTACACATGTAAAGCATTCAAATATCTGTATCTTATGCATACAAACAATACCAAATCTGAAGAGAAATATAGTTTGGAAGGAAGACAACATACACATACAGTATAATTTTATGATTGAATGAAAACATGAATTAAGCATGTCAAATGTAAAAGACAAGCAAATAGTTTGAAAAAAAGACAAAAGTTCTGGTTTTTGAGTTTTTATGTTCCCAAGTTTAGGGCTCTTACTTTCACCTACCATCACCAAATCTCTCAGAACACTGACTTCCCCAAAGAATAATGGTACGATTATCTGTTGCCAAACCGGAGTAATTAATGATAAGTAAACCATTAAAATCTAGTTTGAATAACACGTCTTTCTGGAAGTCCACAATCAGTTTCGATTTTATATAATCTTACGAAGCTATCAGAATATACATTATGATTGTTAACCTAACTGAAGACTGCTCAGCGAGGCACAGGTGAGTGCATTGTCTGATGCACAATGAGATGCCCAGATAAATGTACAAATGTAAACTTATCCAACAAATATGAAACTGACCTAACCTAACAAACGTACACTAATTGCAAGTCCTACTGAAAAAATATTATTCTTACGTGGTATAAACATTTTGCACACACATGTCAAAGTGATGTGTCCATCACAAATAATTACTGAGATAATTAAGGTCAAAATTCTATTCAGCCTATAATTTTGATAATTTAGAAGAAGTTACGATTAGAAGGTAAATATGCATACTGCCTAGCGTCCTTTTTAAAAATAAGAAATATAAATAATTTTTACTACGTCCTTTTGTGTTTAAATTTGCTGATAACACAAGCTTCATGGAAACAAAATGCTTTAGAAGATGGCTGCCATGCGAGGAATAACAAATTTCTTAATTATTTTATTGCGGCGTAGGACGAAGATTTCTTTACAGTAAAATGTAAATTGCAAACGTTAAAGCCCTTCGGTCTTTAATGGAAACTTCATTGTTACCCTGTGAACGTTATGGTATAGTCATTATTACATATGGCATGGAGAAAACGTTAGTACCAAATCTAGGTTATGTTAGTGCCATGACTAAGTTTCGATATGATGTGTGCATAAAGTAAACCATTCAGGCGGGAAATTGTTTTTTTTATGTGTACATATCCATTAGTGGATTAATAACGTTATAAGTCATACATCTGCTTATGAGAGATGTGTTATGAATTAGTGTGTTTTCTCCTTGCTGAAGAAGCCTGTGATAAATTATTCCTTGGTTTGGAGATCTGTGAGACATCTGAAAATGAAGGGGATTTCATGAGCGTAAGCAAAAGCACATAAATCACATTCAAGAAACAATGGAGAAATATAGATGTCCATAACCTGTTAATCAGAACTGAAAGCGAATCTTGTTCAAGTGTCATAATTATGCCTGCCTCACACATATTGAAGTTTATTATATGGAAAATGAAATCATGCTGATGACTGGCAAAACCAATGTCCATGGTGAAAGAATTTTAATTTCTTAAAGGCCATAGCTGGAAACAGACACAGAAATACCAATGAATCAAGATGAAGTGATGTGGTACAGTTGAGATGAGACAATGAGAAAGTTACCAAAAGCTCCATGTGTGGGATAGATCAAGTTGTAAGTTGAAGATATAGGAGCTGCAGTTTTCCAGTACAGACTTACATGACTGCAGTACTTATAGGTGACTGCCAGCATTCTGGTTGCCCACGCTGTGACGCACACCCCACTTGACATTGCCATGATGATCCGTCTTCACAAATGTGTGTGTGGAACCCCCAGTACCCCCCTCACTGGAACCCAGAGACTCTTGAAATGTATCAGATGGTGCTTCATAAATTAAGTTAGATGGTGAGCTGTTTGAAGTGATAGTTAAACCACTAGATGGTGAGTCATGACTTGGGATATGTGACCTGTATGAGTCACTGGATGAGGAGCCTAGCAATGGCTTGGGTAGCCGGTGAGATGGCGAACTTTCTGATATGCTGGGAGACCATGAGTCATGTGGTGATGAGCTATGAGACGAAGATGGTGGCTGAAATGAATCAGAAGATTCTGAGTCGTGTGAAGGTCTGTGGGACTTCTTTGATGATGAGCCATATGATGGCCCATATTGGGTATTTGATAGTGAACTCTCTGATATGCTGGGTGACCTTGAATCATGTGTTGATAAGCCATAAAATGAAGTTGGTGACCCATACTGCTCAGTAGGTTTTGACTCATATGAGGGTTTAGGTGAATTTTGAGGTAGTTTGTGTGACCCATGTGTTGAACTGTATGATATGGATGGCTCTGTGTCGTGTGATAAGGTATAATGTGAAATTGGTGATTTGTATAACTCACTGGAATGTGAAGGTGTAGGCGACTTTTGTGGTGAGCCATGTGATGGTCTGTGTGACTTATGTGATGGTGAGTTTTCTAATATGGGTGGCCTTGAAGTTTGTGATGATGAACTATAAGGTGATGTTGGTGACTCAAATAAATCACTGGGCTTTAAATTGTATGAAAGGCTGGGTGACTTTTTCAGTGGTGAGCTATATGATTGTCTGGGTGGGCTATGTGATGGTGAGCTGGGTGGCTTTGAGCCATGAGTTAAAGTATGTGATTGATATGAATCACCGGGTTGTGCATTGTATGAAGGTCTAGATATCATGTGCGGAACTGATCCAAATGAAGGCCTTAATGGTGAATAGTGTAATGTGCTTGATGATCCATATAAATCAATTGATGGCGAGTTGTATGATGTGCTGAATTGTTTGTATGGTGGAGATTCATATGATACACTGGGTGGTTTCCTAGGTGGAGATGCATACGATACTCTGGACGGTTTTCGGGTTGGTGAGCTGTGTGGCGCACTAGGAGGTTTTCGGAACAGTGAGCCATGTGATACACTGGATAGTTCTCGTGGTGGTGAGTCATATACTAGAGTGGGTGGCCTATGTGGTCCACTGGCTATTGAACTGTAAGATGCACTTTCCAGTCCAAAGAAATCTGTGGGTTTTGATATATATGATATGCTTGGTGATTTGTATGAGCTGTAATGCGAAGAAGGTGATCCATGGGAATCAATGTCTGTGGGAGCATGGGATGGTCTTGGCCGTACGTGTCTATTTCCAGGGTGCCAGTATGGAGAGCTAGCAGGAGGGAATGGCGGATTTAAAGCTCTCAGTGTTCCAGATGAAGGAATGAGCCGTCCTGCTTGATTCTTATAATTGCTAGGAAACACATCCACCTCTCCATCTTGAGCTGATACATATATCGGTGCTTCCTGATCAAAAGCCACACCATCTTCTCCACTGTTAATAATCCCTGTGTTGTCCTGTATTGGTTCATGACTCACATAACGCGCAACATTGTATGTGAGTTCTCTTTCACTTGCAACGTTGTCATCATCAGTTCGTTTAAAGTTGATGCCATATCTGAAATTTCGTGCTTCAGGTCTTGTTCCTTCCTTTGTATCAGCGCTGGCCGTCGTGTGCTTCATTTTACTTTCACTGCCTCCTGGATCCTCATGCCTGGCCTCTGTTCTCCTTATGATACCGCTGTTTAATGTTTTATGTTCTGCTAACATATGCTCATCATAATCGATATTTTTTACTTGCATCCCTTTAGAAATGTCACTATAATGTTCATTCTGGCCGTCTTGACTAAAAGATACCACTTTGTCTGCATATTTAGATTTAAGTGGTCTCCCAGTGTTCACATCATCTTGGCTGCTGTTTCTAATAGCCGCTATTTCATAACTGTTGAGATTTCTTTCCTTGGTGATATTAATATGTTCTATTGGCCTGTGAGGATTAGAGTTTCTTTGGACTGCGTCAGAGTTCTGAACACTCCATGGTTTAGACACTGAGTTTAGTTTATCACCTGTCACATTACTTTCGAGACTTCTTCTCCCAGACGTGTATTTCTGTTGCACATTGTAGTCTAGAGTCATGTTAGAGGACAAAGAGTCATTGGCTGTGCCATCTGGTACTCTGTCTCTGGAGGTGACTGTTGATGTAGTAGTTGGTACTGCATCTGGGAAGTCAGCTATTGTTTTCATGGATGTTATAAATGGAATGATGTAGAATTCACAGTATATAATTTTATTATATGTTCTTTGCATGCAGTACAGAAGTCTTTGTGATTACTTGTTGACAGTTTTTATTAGGGGTCTGTAATATTGAAAGGATTTAATTTTGAAGAATTCTGTGGTCTGGGATGTGATGGCTTGTAGTTATATAGAAAGATAATGTGTTTCAGAGAAATCTCCTGCTTCCATTTTTGACTCTGAAGATGGAGGCGGCACGTTCCTCAGTAATGTTAGTACCATTCTATGGTCAATCTGTAAGAAACTCAAATCTTACTTTTGGTTTATATCGGTCCCTTGTAAAGTGTGCTTTGTTTGAGGTTAGAATCAAATTTTATTAAGATTGCAAGCGTCTGAGATGTGACACCATGTAGTTTGTTGTATGGGGACCAAAATTTTGGAGGAATCTTCTGCCCCCATCTTTAGGACAGAAAACATGTCTCAAACTACATCTCATCACATTCCGGCAGACCACAATCTTAATACCTGCTGCAAGAACCCAAAATCTGAAATAAAATTTGTCAGCTTTTCTTTTTAGACGGCTTACTGTATAAGAATTTGGTACATGACAAAAATATATACTTCAGTCATTACAGCCTGAAAAATGTTGTGATATGATGAATGTTTAATGAAATAACAAGGGAAAAATTATTTCTGATCAAATCAAACTGAGATATCTTGGGTCATGTCGATCTAGAATGAAGATAAAGTACCAGAGTATGAATTAATTTCTGTTCAGTATACCTGTAACAAATACTGACTTTGCAGAGTAGTTTTAATGCAATATGTAACATAAACATTGCATTTACGTTAACAAAATTAAGAAATATGACTTTATTAACCTGATAATGAAAATAAGAAATCAGTTTATTATAATGACATTCAATTTCTTTTTCTTGTTTTTGGGGTGGGTGGAGGGAGAAATTGGTCAACAGGGTACACTGGTATTTAACGTTTTGGAGCCTGAAGAGACAGGGTGGTATACCAGACCAATGGCCCAGTAGAGTGCATTCTCTTTATGAACCAGGGTACATCATGCCTTGTGCAGGCAACCTTATGGAAGAAAAATCCCTGTGTAAGTATGTCTTGAGTTTCCTGCCATTGTATGAGTATTAGAAATGTGTTGAAAATAGAATCTAGTAACTTTCAAATGTTGACGTAAGAATCTGCGTCACTAAATTACAACTTGTACCCTCATTCCCATCATAGGTGGAGTTTACACCATTTTGTATATGATGTTATTCAGGACAAGAGCAGTGCTCATTAGCATTGGTATTCAAGGAAGAGACCCATTAAGTCTGAGGTTGTAAATTTTAAGACCTGTTATAAATTGAAGTCTGAACTTCATACAACATTCAAAAATGTAATTCATACTTCATAGAAAACACAGCCCTTCTATTACAAACATGAACTGCTTAAGAGAGTCCCATTGTTTATGGAAATAATTGCTGTTTGTTTTGAGAATCATTGAAACTAATAAATACAACGTTTGAACAAAAATGCTGAGCTTTTCATGTACATAGTAAGGGATACATATGATGACCACTGTGCTTTAAAAGGTTAAAGACCTGTTTATGTATTCCTGTACAGAAAACAAATTAAAATGGTGCAAATATAAGCTTCGCAAATTGATTTGACTCTTTAACATAGAGTGGTTACTATATACACCACCTGTTTTAATATTCATAATGTGTGTATTTTGCCACTGTGTATTTATGGATTTCTTTTCACATAAATCAGTAGTTATTTCCCTAAACAACATTAACAGATTGGTTTGTGTAATGGAGCACTGCATTTTCTCTGAGGTTGAAACAATCTTCAGCCCTTCTGTCTTCAAACAAATACCGACCTGGTTCCCGAGGTTCCAAGCTGCTACTAAGTGCATCTCGTGCAGCCCACCTGATTTAAATTCATCAGAATTATACCCCTTGCTGTGGAGGCCGCTAGATTGCCCCCCAAATTTTGCAGTTCACAAGTAATCAGGAAATCTAAATAATTCGGTAGTGTTCCACGTCTCCACTTATAATGCCCTTCTCCCCCCCACCCCCCAAACAATTGCCCACAAGTGAAAAGTCTCTAACTTCTCCAGTGACGTTCCCTGTTCACATACGTGTACTATACTATTGTAGCTTCTCTTACAGTGGTTCATCTGAGCGGGTTAGCGTAGCTGAAACGCATTTCTCTCGTTTTCGGAAGGAACTGGGTTCTTACATCAGCCGAGACATCGGCTCCGCTGACTGAGTTTCTTGCGGTTTTCCTCACGCAGTTAAAATGCCTGAATAGTACCCCGATTAGGCCACGACCGCATTTTTCCTAATCCTTTCCAATTCGTCATTCTCCCAACATCCTACCATTCGACACTATATAGTCTTGCTACTGGCAGCGTCGTAAAATTACC